GTATTACGGAACAACAGTTATCAATCATAATTATTTCATATGCAGTCAACTCGGACTCTTTATTAATGAAGTCATTATTGCTGCAGCGGACGCTGTTTGTGAATGAAACCCACTCTAAACTCACTACGGAGTGACCATGTTAGAATGTACTACGTCCGAACTTAATGTCCTTTCACGGTTTTACGAAACTACTTTTGATGATTCTCCGCAATGAAATAGACCGCATCTCGACAAACTATGAGTTTAATCAAATTACTTAATACATTTTCGTATATTTACTTATTTTTTCATTATGAAGATTTGCATTCAATATCTTTCTTTTTTATACAAATTTTAATAAGTTACATATTTCAAATTAATAAATATCTTTTGCAGAGACAATAATTTTCATATAAATTGAAGCTTTTAATGATTCAACTACTAAAAGTAACATAATTATGAGTATTTTTCTTTATTTCTTATTATAGTTTTGTACTTTATGGTTAAAGATGGGTTGAATGAAACTTAAAATTAAATATAGAAAAAAAAAGGTAATTTTTTTTCTGTAAGTCAAATAAATCGTTTGTATGAGAACGTATGGGTAGACAATTGCTACCTAATGATACTAATAGCAGACATTAATCATAAACTCAAGGACACGAGGTCGTACAGCGCAACAGAACAAGAAAAAATATTATATTATATATTTTGGAATTGAGTAATTTGAAATTAAAATAAGATTTATTCTCGTAACTCAGGTAATATGGAAAACGAATTAATAAAATTACATTTCCGGTCGCATTAGACATGTGTTGAATATACCCAATAAGTTATCGTGACTATTCCAAAAGGTAATAAATATTCCTGTTTGCTGCTGGATTCAATTGTAAGAGTAATGATTAAGAATATGCAGAAGTGGGTCAGGATTCGGGAAATGCAGTACCGAAAATAAATAAATCCTTCCTTCCCTATTCAGATTGTTTTATTTATATACAGCCATATTTTGCCGCGACTATCTTTCCTTCTTCTTCTTCTACTCTCCAGCCAGCAGTCTCCTAGCAACCATTCCAGTTCCGCCATTTATCATTTCCCGACGTCGCGCATTATATACAACTCATTTTATTTATTCCTTCTTCCCTTTTTTTTTTCGCCCTTCCTTCCTACATCTCATCCTTTTGCGCCGAATACATTTTCCTATTTTCTTCGAAATCCAATAACCGAGATGCGTGATGGAGATGAACAACCGAAAAGGAATAGTGTGAGAGAGAGAGAGAATCACGGGATGTGGGAATTACAATGAGAAACAAGAAAAAAAGGAAATACCGCGGCAGATTTATAAAGCCATTTAATATGCACGATTAGAGAGCAATTTTACTCCGAGTTAACGTTCGTTTCTTTTTTTTATATAATTCATTCATCGTCTCCCCACGGTTATGTGATTCTTCAGACTCCTTTTTTTTTTTCTACCGATATTCTGATGTTTTTTTTCTTTATTTGTTGCTGTGCCCCCGGACTCGGAACGCTGCGGCCAACATTAAAACTAAACTGTGCTACGTGAGATGAGTTTTTCGTCGGTTTTTAAACGGTTTGTTATTCGCTATTCAATTGGAACGATTGTAAAAACGCAACTAATCGCAGTGGCGTAACCGAATTGACCGAAACCGTACGAGTAATTACTGCCAAGGGGCCGAGGTTTTCGACTAGAACCGACCGCGAAATTCGGTGGCGGCAAATTTCGAAACTGATATCCGGCAATGTTTGCGCGCGCTTTTCTATTTTTTTTGAATATCGCGCCGGAAAACCGACGTGTGACGCCAATGGTTTCGTCCGGTCGTCGCCAATAGAGCTACCGTTCCTACAAAAATCTCCCATCGGATTATTTATGCACGTTCGAAAATTAAATTGAAATTCGTTCGATTCCTTTTTGTTCGCGCGCCTCGTCGCGGTTCTTAAATAACTTTTTGCCGCCTAACGATTTAATTTAAATAAATTCTATTAATGCTGCAGCTTCCGAGAAGCTTCTTTGTAAATTGACTTCTTCGTCAGCTCTTTTTTGTTTTGTTTTATTTTGTTTCTGTTTCCTTTTGTTTTGCTGTTGATTGTTTGTTTTGTTTCTCACTTCTTGCCCGATTCCGTTTCATACGATCGAGGTGTTGCGTTTATGTGATCTAAATCTTAATTAACTACAACACGTATGTTTACCGAGGAGCTATTAAAGTATTCTCGAAATCATTTTTGACATTGATCCAAGGTGATGTGTCT